TGTTGTTGTTGTTGTTGTTGTTGTTGTTGTTGTTGTTGTTGTTGTTGTTTTCAGTTGCGCTGCCTGTTTAGCTGGCGGGGTGTTTGAACACTTATGGCTCTTTGGGTCACCAGGCGCTCACATTGGCAGAGTGGCAGTCACAGTCTGGGGTCAAGAATCCACATCTTCACTTCCGCGGATGAACGAGGAGATGCCAACACCCCGTCCCGAGTTTGAAACTGGGCGGTTTTTGCTTGACTTTTGGGATGTTCTTGGGGCGGCGCACTTGTTTGGGGGGTCTCCAAGAAGAGAGTTGTTGGATGATGCATGATGAATCCCCCAAAAGAACCCTTTTGGGCCAAGCTGGTTGGATCTGATTGGTCATGGTCCAATGGTGTGAATCCCAACCTAATCATGGCTTTTCCGAATGCCAAACCTAGCCCCACTTGACCCTTCTGATGAGAGGAGTAGTTGCTTCAACTGTGGACCCCCCGGCCCGGCACGACAGAGGAGTAGTCCATCCGAGTCCAACGACTGGATTGAAGACGGTATTAATCAATCATACATTGTATTAATTGTTATAGTTATATATATATATATAGTATCCAATGTATTCAATATGCATTCAATATATTTTGTTTTTCTGTCGCTTTGGATCCAGACTCACCTGAATTTTCTGTGAATTTCAAGTTCCTCGCACCAGCCACTGGATGAAGGATGGGTGTGTTCTTTGTTGAGTTCAGCCCTGAGGCCCTGCAACAGCCCACAGCGCCGAGCGGTGCCTCATCACTGAATGGACACACACATACAAACCGCACAGACGTTGCAGGGTTTGGGGGGGGTTCTGATGGTGTAGGTGGATGAAACCCTTGGGCATCCGTGTTGTTTTGGTGTAAGGGACATCACATTCACTGGTTTTGGTTTAGTGATTGGAGACCATCTGATGATCATGGACATCCACGGGATTTTGTGATAGATTCATGTGACGATTTTCTGGATTGGTGATGAAAGCTTCCGGAAGTTCAATGGTTGTTCGTGATTTCATTCATGATAAACATTGATAAACCATTGCTTCAGCGGACTGTAAGACTGGAAGACTGGAAGACCTGCCCTGCAAGGTTCGTCCTGTCAGTACCAATCATGAGAAGTGGAGACTCGCAAGGTGGACCATTGGTTTATCTCCCAAGTTTGGTGGTTTAGTATGGTTTTAGTAGTGGACCCCCAGCCATCATGGGGTCTGTGCCATCGAAGCTCTGAAACCACTGTATGTGAATTATTTGGCTCAGAGGGGTGATATGGGCATTACAATGAGCTGCCCTTTTTCCCATGGAGGAAGGGCTCATGGTGTCCAAATCAGTGACGAGGCGCCACATGTTCTGATCAGATCCTGTCAAGTCAGATCAATTTCTTCCATTCCATCCCTCTCCAGCTCCGCTTTCGACCATACTTTGGACCCACCTACTTCAACGCCTGGGACTGTTCGGGGCGGTCCTCCGTTCCGGTCTTCGTTCCCGGTCCTCCGCCCGAGGACTTGGAGGACGCCTTGCCTTTGGACGCCACGCCGTGTGAGATCTCGGCCACCTCAGTGAGGCGAGGCGGTGCCGGCCGGGGGAATGAGGCGGCGGGGTGGTGGGCGCGGGGGAAACGCGGCCCCGAAGTGGGAATCCCAAGCGGAAGAGGTGGTCTTTTGGTTGGTGCCCGGTTTCCTTCCATGAGCCAAGTCCAGAGTGGGGCCCTGTGTTTTGGTTGGCCTGGACCTTCAGAGCTGCACCTTCAGAACTGGAAACCGACATGAAAGATCCCAGCAGAACCATTGCACCCGGGACATGGACCTTTGGAAGACTATTTTCCTCTACAACCCAGTGGTTTTAGGTTCCATGTTAATTTTCCAGGGTCTATTGAGTTTGGGATCTTTTTTTTTTGTAGTTAGACAACCGGACTTGTTAGAAATTGGTGGAATAGACCGGGGAAAAGGGACCACCAGTTCACCTAAAAGCACACATGTGATGTTTTCCGAGGTGTCCTCACAAAACGCTGTTGCCCTGCGACTTCCGGATGGACTTCTGTTGTTTATATAAACACGTTCTCCTGCAGCATCCTGGGTCATTCAAACACTTTCATGGGTTTTTGCTTTAAACTGAGCTTTGGCTCATGCCGCCATCGCCTCTTTGTGTGGAAACACCTTTTCCATCAACCGTATTTAGGTGGACCATCGGCTGATTTCGCTATGCTCATTTGCACGTCCCAAAGGGAAGAACCCAGCCAATTGCTTTAACCCTCTCTCAAACTGAACCAGATCCTCCGCCAATCGAACAACGTGGGATTCAGCTGGAAATACCGAATCGAAGGGAATGTTCAATGGGTGTCCCATGGATCCTGATAAGTATAGTGTGAGGTAGTCCATTGGACACCCATTGCATCGTCTTGGTATCTATTGTAGTCTTTCAGATCATTCCCATTCATGCCGCCAAGACGTCTGCACCTCGGAATCTGGCTGAAAGCTTCAATCCGGTCGATCAGGGCCCCACCGGTGCGAAAGCTGCCATTATTTGTTTGAATCCTTAGGGCCCTCCATGGCAGGTGCGCCTCCATAGCAGTCTTCTAATGGCACCCTCAGCACCCATTTCATTGGAGGGCCCGGATTCTTTAGGGCGGTTGTAAGCGCTTCACGTTCCGCTCCACGTGAGTCTTCTGCGTGTGTAGAGCTGCGCAGCTCTACACACGCGGTTACATTGACATAGACCGGAAACAAAGAGTAACATCGAACAGTCTTATATAAAGTCTTGTTCTTCATTTTCTTCATGTTTGTATTACGCAGATATCGGTACCATATCTCTTCTTGAATGACTATATAGATGGAACAAATAGAGTCCATTGGAGATTGGCGTCTGCTTTTTCAACCGCCCAATCGGGCGCCCCACCTGGGTTTCTCTTGGATTGGAGCTCAACTGCTCAAGTGCTCCAGGTGGTGCGGAGTGAAGATTCCCCTCTCGGCGCCCTCCTCGCTGGTCGCCTGTTGGTGCCGCGCTTGGTCAACATCCGTTCCGGAGACGTGAGCGAAACGTGTGGATCGCTGGATCGGGAGAGGAGAGGAGGGAGAGGAGACTGTGGTGCGGATCGATCTGCATGGGGTTTGTGTCGTTTCCTCGTTCGATTGAAGGCTCTTGGGATCGAAGTTCCAAAGTCATGGAGGACCAACGTCCTTGGAACATGAAGAGATAGGAGTTGAACAGTTGGACCCACAGCAACATGTACCAAGTCCATGATGGAGGCCCAACTGCCCAACTCCCTGATTTTCAGGATAATCGTTGCCAAGATGCGAACATGCACTGCACCCGAAGCAGTGGTCCGACCCAACCTGCGCGCGGGTAAAGTCATGCAAAGTCCCTGAGGGTTTTGGAGCGCAGGCTGGGTGGCTTGGTGAAAGCACTTTGACATGCACGCACTTTGTGTGGACTATAATCTTACATTGAATTGTTGAAACCTCCCGTAACAGTAGTACGCCATACAAGGGTTGGTCTGGCTTAGTGACACGGTCGTAGGGACTTAAGATTCTTGGTCGCTCAAAACCCAGCAGCGATGTTGTGGGATGTCTGATTGCTTCACCAAGACCAAGACGGAGTCCACTTTTGGAAGTCCAGCCCTCCCTGAGCCAGTTCGCCCCATCGAACATCCTCCCCCCTGTGTGGATCCAACGCCTCCCACCTCATCCCAGGTGTGGTGCCTTAGGCGGTTTCAACGCCACCAACTACACGGGCGTTCCAGCGGTTTGGCTCACGGTGCGCGCTCTAGCGCTACCTGGGGGGTGGTGCTGTGAAAGTGGAAGAGGCACAGCAACGAAGATGCTTGCAGCAGTGAAGACATAGTTTGATCATGGAAATACATGGACAACCACACCCAAAAGAACAATGACAAACACAAGTTTTATCAGAGTCCTGTATATGTACTGCATAATAGTTGCGCTGAGATTCCTTTTGAGTGTCCAAAACATCAATACTGATTGTAAAGTGGAGGACACAGACATTTGTTTAGAACCTGACATCCGGATTCGAGCTTCGTGAACCACGTGGCTTGCCCCGGGCACTCGCTCCGGGTGGCCCCATGATTCACCAGGTGAATCCTGGGCCTCCGCTGCAGACCGATGCCGGTCCGGTCTACAGGCGGGTGTGATCTTCTCGAAAAACGTGACGGAACCGAAGGTGTAGGATGTTACAGCCAGGAAGTACGTGGAGAACCCCTTTGATATAACGAATTCACCCATACATACAGCCGATCGGTTTCCCCACCAGAAACCAACAGGTGGAAAGAAGATGAAAGAAGGTCGGTCAGCCTTCAGACACTGAGGGAGTCAGGTACGCACCAGAAGGGATGGTGAGTAGATTCCAGACTTCTTGCTTGGATGACTCCGCCATAGGAGCGACCTAATTAAGTCCTTTATAAGGTGATCTAAATTCCTCTCCAAGACCAATAGAATGGGCGGGCCATTTGCCTGGTTGCGCCCACAAGGGTGCTTTTGGTGTTCTTCGGAGGGTGTCTGGGTGGTAAGAATGCTTTAGCGTTGTCAGACATGATTACTGCTAAAGACATAGCTCTGTAGATGGCTCCAATCGCGATGGGTGACTCAACACTGGTGTGCCCTCAACTCTTGCCAAGGGAAACAAGAGGACTTCCTGAACCAAAGCCGGCCGGTCGTATCGCATTCCACAGCCATTGCGTTTTGGGGCTATAGGGAGCAGCTGTGGCCAGGTATGCAGGAGGGATGTAAGAAGCCACGTCAGTTCCTGACACAGAGAGACATGTAGGAAGGACGCGGTGTAGGACCGCTAGAGCGAGAGGAAAGCACCAGAAGCACGGCTTGCTTCCGGTGAACAAGAACAAGGATTGGTAAGCTGGTACAGATGGCATGACTGCTTGGAGTAGGATTGGATTGGACTTCCTTTCAAAGTTAAGGTCCAAAAGCATCCAAAAGCTGTTGAGTTCAATTCGAAAAACACATCTTCGTCAGAATTTCACCTCTTCGTCCTGTTTCGGTCCTGTTTCGGTCGCTTCGCCCCGCATCCTCGGGTCGAACGGAGCATTCCTCGGGTCGCAGATCCGGTCCTCACCCTACGACCCAGGACTCGGTCGCCCAGTTCCATGAATCCTACTGGACACCTGTTGGGAGTGGATCTTCCCCTGGCAGATCGCTTCACCGGTTGTGGTTGCTCCAAGAACCGACCTGGCAGCGACATATCCAGACCAGTCGGCTCCAATGCCAACCCCGCAGCTGCTAACAAAGCCAACCGGGGGAGCGTGTGAGACTTGGAACCCGACGCTCACCAATGTTTTCGTTGTTTACCACAACCGTTCTGGTTGTATTAACGAAGTGTATGATAGGATATTTTGGGCCCAAAATTTGAACTTAGAACGATGATCATTGAACAACTTTTTGTTGCTACGACCCAGGTATGTTGGAAGTCGATCAGGTTTTGTGGACAGACAGTCACGGCTTCCAACCACCATTAGAATCATTAGATTTAACAGTTTTTTACATGTTTGTACCGAACAACCCTTGTTTTACTAAAGACTTGGAAGCAGGTGCACCTTTCCTTTGCCAGTCTTGGAAGACGAGGGCAAACTTTTGAAGACTCGCCGGCTCTCTGCAGCTGTTCAGTTTTGAATCCCCCCTGCACAGAGCCTTTGCCATGTCGGAATGCTGGGACATGCAACAGTCGCTGGGCACTAATTACAGTACAAGACTTTGAATATCAATCATACTGTGGCATCAGCATATGCGGTGTTTGCATGGGGGGACAAAACTTGCTCTGTCGAGTTGTGTGCTGCTCAACAGAGTCCGACCCGGATGCTTTTGGCAAGTTGAGCGATACAGTGATACAGATCTAATATTTATAGAGAGAGAGACCCCCAAATAGATAGAAAATGTACAGTCCCTCTTTTGAAGTGTATTGGCAAACCCTTTCTATCTATTTGGAGACCACGGAGAAAACCTCTATAAACCGTGCCATGTACCACGGAGATCCCGTTTGCTCTGCACGGTTTGCTTCGTCCTCGGGTCGTTTCCGGCTTCGTTGGGCTCGGCAGTTCGGTCGACAGCGACAGCGACAGCAGTGAAGGTCGGGGAGGTGGTCTCCTACCCAGGAAAGGTGGAGACCCATGGACAACCATGTGGTTATGAAGCTGTTTGTTGTTTTTTTTTTTGGGGATTCTCATGGATTGGATTGTGTGCTTGTTTGCGGCCTCACCTTGGACTCATGGCTGACGTGGCTGATGAGTGCAAGGGAAGAACATAAGTAGAACAGGGGTAAACCTGTGATTAGAACAAACCAACTGAAGTTTACTTTTTTTGGACATCTTGTGTTGGACTTGTGGGCAAGCACCATTTCTGAAGCCTAGGAATTCACACATTGAGGTACGGTGATGGGAGACTGTTATGTAGATTTGGAGGGTCCAGTCGTACTGAACCTGAGAAGGTACGACTGGATCCCTAGGTAAGCACTGCAAGCACAATCAAAGGAATGGTTTGGGCCAACGGTCCAATTGGCATCACTACCACTCTTCTAGGGTCTTTGTTCAGGGTGGTATATGGCATTCTATAGACATCAAACAACATCCAACGCTTCTTCAGAGCTGCAGTTTTCAAAACGTCAGAATCAAGATGAACCTGGGCGGTATATATGCCAGTCCCTTAGAGCGTTTCGGGAAGGACAATCGCCCCAACCTCTACCAGGCTGGTAGAGCAAGATACTTTTCAAACCCTTTCTGACAGGTTCTGTGTTTGTTTCAGGGAGTCTAGTCCATGGCTTACTTGAAAGATGTAGTTTAATTTGATAATGTACTATGTTTTACGAACGTTCTTCTTTTGATGAACGTTGTTAGAAGAATTCTCAAACACAAGTGAGGCAAAGTCTGCACCTCGCTGGGTTGGGCATGCACAAATCCGCCCACGTGAGTTCAACCGAGCTGAGAAGCTGCTTTTTTTGCAGGAAGGGCTTCTGCCCACGAGTGCAGAAGTACGGGAGCTGCAAATACTGTGATGGCGATGATGGTAAAGGCAGGATGGGACGACGGATGGCCCACGGGGATGAACGTCGTGGGCCTAAACCAGCTTTCGCATGTTCTTGTGGATGGGACCCATCTTTCTGTGCTCTTCCTTCGGTTGGCTGCATGGGTTGGAGGTTTTGGAGGCCAGGGATTTCAGGGGGGAATGTCTCAAAGTTGAATGGTCGCTGCAAGACCAAGCGTTGATGGGACCCTGTTATTGCTTTGACTTTTGCTCACCGAGTCCTTCCAGAGGAATATGTAGACGACCCGCGCAGATGCCTTTAGGAACAACAACCACAACAGCAGCAGCAGCAGCGGCGGCAGCAGCAGCAACCACCGCCACCATCACCACGACCACCACTGCTCCTACTCCCCCTCCTATTGCTCCTGCTAGCGCTACTGCCACTGCTACTGCTACAACAACAACAACAACTACAACAACTACTACTCCTACTACTATACTGTATGCTACTTTTGGTATAGAACTCTCGGCTCTTGGTCTTTGGTGGCCCCACATATGAACACCTTGGGCAATTCAACAAAACCAGATGGGAACACTCCCAGGCTCATAAGGGGCCTCCATGGGCTTGTTCCCCAGGGGTTCCCCATTTCCCCAAACTGTGTCAAGCGTGTTTGGTTGAGTGGGGCGGCCACGTGGAACTCCACTAGAAGATCGGATTGCAAACCTGATGACTCAGGTGCTTTATGTTTATACGAGGTACATATCTCCGTTCATCAAAGTCAAAAATATGTACATTATATATACCAGCACCTTCCAACAGGTGGTTTTTGGACACCCCCTTTACCTCTTAAGAGGCTATTTATAGGCACCTCTTGGATGGTCCTGGTATATGACCTGTTCCACGGCTAGCGGTTTGATCAACGAGAGCATCAGAGCATGCTGATGCTCGCCAGGAGGTGGAAAGGACGGCAAGGGCTCTTGGGGTGGAAAGGACGGCTGCCCGGCTTCGACGTGTCGGACCCGGTAGGTCCCGGGAGGTTTGGCGAAGGGTGCGTGCGTGCCAGGGAGGTTCGGTTCGCGTTCACGGCAAGCTGGGCGGGGATGAGGTGAGGTGAAGGGAACTGGACTTCACTCAAAAAGAACTGGTGGAGAGAATCAGCCCGAGCTGGCAATATGATTGTAAAGAGGATGAAGGTCACCAACTTCTCGAAGTCACCAACTTCGTCACGTCGAAGTGGGGAGCATTGGCCAAAGTGGGCGGTCGAAGTCTATCCAACTGGACTCACACTTTCCGAGGGAATCCATACCGAGAGCTCCAGTGTGATGTCCAAATCTACTGCACTGGGTAATGATCGTTGTGGGAAGGTGGACTAACGGTTTGTGGAGTCGATGGAGGCTTTCAATATGTAGGGGAGCAGGCCACTGTCCCATCGCGATCCCGTGGGTGGGGTTTTCCTGGTGTTGGACACCAGGAAGCAGTGAAAGTGACGACTGCAGAAGCCTTTCAATGCATCCTAGGGCTCAAACTGCATATACGACCTACCTCTTTAGAAGGTGGTTCGGGTGGGTTTTGGGGGTCTAAATGGGCCTAGCTACATTCTTGGGGGTAGCAGGTCTCCTTACAATCACTTCGTTGGTATCATTGAGTTGGTTCAGGTCTCAGCTGTTTTGACCGCAAAGTGAAAAGACATGAGGTTTTTTGTGGGGGCCCAGATCAGTGAACCTGGGCAGAATCGAGAAAGGATGGGTGATATCGAACTGGTGAAACCCAGATGACCCCCGCAGGTGAATCAGGAATTTTGCGATTGCTACGGGAGGACAGTCCTGTTTTTGTGGATCCGGTGTTTGACCCTTCAGTTTGGCCGCTGAAGACCCTTGGCCAACAAGTTGCTTTGAAACATGGAAGACCAACAACTACTCACTTCCCCTCCAGCCCCTCTCAGGAAAAGGCTGGAGCCCATCTGGCGGTGGATGGGATGGAGGAAAAGGCTGGGGTGGAGGAAAAGGCTGGAGTCCAGGAGCCTACAGCGGCCCTGGAGGAGTGTGGAATCAGCTCCTTGGTGGTTTTGGGCAGGGCTGGGCTGATATATTGTATATTCTCTACATCCGTCCAGTGATTGGCAGTATGGCTGTGGGGTAAAACCAAGCACCTCAAACTATTCTCCTTCAGTAACCAGGCTATGCACAAGGAAAAGATTGATGTACAAGAAACAATAATGAACCATGGACCATAGTCGACCAAGTGAATGAGAATTGATCATGTGGCTGTGTGAAGCACACACCCCGGTCTACCATTGAATCAGTGAACCTCCCTTGTAGTCCATGGTTTTCTCATGGGTCCGCCGTGCCCCTGGTCAATGGGCTCATTCCTTAGGACTGCCATATTTGCCTACGTAGGGTGTCAATGTAGGCATCAATTCCATACATGGAGTGCTTGCAGAAACACCTGGGTGTGTCATGACAAGCTCAAGAACCAACCTTTCCATCCATTTCCATCTGGCACGTGGACGCATCCATGAGTTCCTCCGCTTTGCCGCATCAGTTGGTGATGCTTGCGGTGCTAATAATACCCTTTTGCACAACAAAGAACTAGGCTTCACTATTGAATGAATCATTTGGACATTTGCCAAGAACTTAAACAAAAGCCACCTAGAGCAGAGCTTGCAGCACTTGCCTTTGGCCTGCTGAGGTTCTTGAAGTGGAACAGTGGGAAAGGCAAGGAAGGTTTTCGGATGTTGGAGAAATCGGTGCCTAATAACAGATATTTGCACAGCATCAGAAACATGTCATTACGCTTCACGACTGGAAACTATTAAATTTAAAGACATTTTGAGACATGTCTTTACCAACACATTTACTTCATCCACTTCGCGTCTCACTCATAATCCGCTCCCCCCCTGGGGAGAATGGTCTTTCGCGGACAAAGGGCTGGTCTCAGAGAAGAGCCGGAGCGAGTCGATGCATTCAGCCATCTGCTAAAGCGGTCCAAGCTCCAATTCCAATTCAGGTGTATTGGTCTGACTACTGCAACTATTGACGATGATTGTTTCAAGATGTTTCAAGTGTGTGGTGACTGTTCGTAAACTGCACCCTCCACAAAAAGAATCCTGTTCGTTGGGGAGAAACATGGAGAAACAACATATATATGTTAAAATGTCAGATTTCCATGTCAGATAAGCCTGTGGGCGCGGAGGTCATACGGAGCATATATAGTAATTACAGATTTCCACCGTCAGCATATATGGCATCTCAGTGACCTGAAGCTCTGTTCCTCCACATTTTCGAAGCAAAATGCGCGCGGATGGCCACACACGTCGACTCATGTCCACCGCGTTGGAGCGAGCTCGCGGAGCACGGAGCGCGTCGCGTCGCCCAGGGAAGGGCAAGGATCAGCGGAAGAAGATTGATCCCAGTCGAACCATTTGGGTCGGCAACATCCCTGCAGACACCAAGTTCCAGGCCGATTGGTAGGGCGCAGCTGGGATGTGCAGGGTGAGGCTTCGGATGAGGAGGACGGTTTTACCCATGAGTCGACGCCCTCGGAAGGTGGGTCAGGTCAGGACTGCCAGTTGCGGTTAGGACCTATGACCTCAGGTTTCAAGAAGTAATTTCTTGATTAATGAACCCCCTTTTTGAATTGGAAGTTCTCTTCATATGGAGGGTTTATTTTATCAAGAGTAATTTATCAAGAGTAATTACTGCTACAGTCCTGCAGGAGTCATCTGCAGCACTGATGACTTAGAGGGTGAATGAGTGGATGAGTGGACGGTCCAGTGCGAGTCCAGCGGGTGCTGGACTCCGCGTGGCGCGTTGGTTGTCGATGTTTTCTCACCTGGACTGAGTCGTGGAGCGTGTGCAGCAGAGTTTCTTGCAGTTCTTTCTGGCCTAGTCTGGCTGCGCACCAGAGTTTGTCTGGCCTAGTCGTATGATGGACTCCTCTGTCCAGAGCCCCCAGAAAAGAGGAAGTATCCTCTGCAAGCGGCAGCCTGAAATGGGCAACTCAGATTTTGGAAGCAAGATGAAGGATTAGATTGATGTAGCCTGGCAGGGTTTCTCTAATGAAGGCCAGTTGATCATCCCTCAGCAACCTCAGTCTCCCTCTGAAAAAGCAAATCATTCTCTTCTGTTCTCCACTATATAAGACGGAATGGCTTCAAGTAGATGTTTTATACCAAGAGCCATTACATCCTCTTAGTCTCTTGGGACATCTCAAGGGATATATGGGATATATGAACACCCAGTGGATCATATATCCGACGCAAGGCATCACGCAAGGCGTCACGCAAGGCATCTGCCGTGGAGTTGGAGAACATTGGGTTCTTCATCGCCACTCCACTCATGTTCCGCTCATCCTCAAAAGTGCCCTGTCACCTGGGATTTGCTCCTCTATGACTCTATGAGCGATGTTGCTGACCCGCTAACCTCCTCACCCACCACCATAGCCGCGCTCCGCACACACGTGGCCTTCACCATGGCAGCGCCGCGCTCCGCGAAAAGGAGCTGAAGAGCCACGTGGAGCTGTCCGGCGTGGTGCCCCTTTGGGCGGAGGTCTATTCGGGAAAAGGTGCCGGTGTCTCGGTTGCAGAAGTGAGAGGGGTGGAACGAGAGGGGTCGATTGGCTTGGTTTTTTTCGCTGGACCGTGGGCGTTTGGAACGGAGGAGAGGCTGGACGGTTCCGGCGGACATGGCGGACGGTTCTGGCAGGGGACGACCACACCTGAATGCATCCAAGACCAAACTGTTCAGTGTCAGTGTGCTTCCTTGGCAAAACTGAAGGCTAGGATCCTCATTCTATAACCCAAGTTGAGACCATGTAAAAGGAGATCAAAAGAGACAAAGTGTTCTTTTGTTGCCCAGGTTGGTGACCCCCATTGAATGGACTGAATCTTCGGATCGAATTCTTGGATTTGCCCAAAGGGTGGAACCGAAGAACGGGCGGTGTTGGATGGGCCAAGTGGGCCAGGACGTGGTGACCGTGGTGGTAGCGAAGTGGGGTAACGAGTGCATTGGGTGGATTGGAGGTGTTCAGTTAAGAGTTATTGAGACTGATTATATAGATCTGATCAGGGTATAGTAGATTGTAGTAATTAGATTGCAGAGTGCCATTTGACATTTGATGGGGTGTGGAAAGCAGGAAGACGCAGAAGTGCACAACTCGAGACGTTGGGCCCTCAATGTCTATCGTCACGGTGAAAGCAGTCATTGCTATAAGTACTATATAGAGTCTATGACAAAAGAGGGATGCGTTCTTCTAAGAAACCATTGGCATCCATTGGCTCTTTCTTTTTCTCTGAACCAATCACTTGGAGCCATTCATTTGATTTCATTTGCAGCATCACACTGTCTATAATATACTAAACATCCGGCCCTCCAGGCCCTCCAGGCCCTCCAACTCCCATGCTTTGGAATGAACTGTGAATCAACAGATGAAGAACCCAAGAACTGTGTTGCACTCTTTGGACAAACTATGACGAACTGAAGAAGCATTACTTATTGAGCACTCTATCAAAAACATGTCTCCCAAAAACAGCCCTCGCTGCACACATGGTCTTCAGCAAAAAGACCCCCAGACACCACCTGACACCTGCGGCGTATTCGCTTCGAGACCAAGAATTGAGACCGCCGAACGGATTAGAAGCCTCCCACCCTGGAGTCTTCTTCAGCTTCCAGGGGTTTTCTATGGGTTTTCTATAGTTACCTGTCCCTCAGGGGTATAGTGATGAAGTAAGCCATTCAATCCGACACGCTTCCATGCGCCAAAGTGAGAAACAACCACCGGACAGGGGAACCCCGTTTCCCGTTTCCCAATTTTCAGCTCGCTCAGAATGAAAGACTTGAGGTGAAGTTATATACGTCCCTTATGGTTGGCCGTGATTGGAGTTCCCGAAATAAACCACTTGCACTATCTTACACACTCCCTAACAGACTAAACAGTGGTGAAGGACAAGAATCAGGAACCCGAGTTTTCCCAAGAGCAGGTGCTGGGATTGTTTTGATCACCAAGAAATCTCATATAGTAATTAGCGTACCTTCAACGGCTACATGTCCACTTTCTTGACACTTTCTTGACACTTTCCCACTACACTACAACGCAAAATGCTTGCTTCGTTGTTTTGTTCAACAACTCTCCCAGACTGGGGGCATCTGAACACGCTCCAAAGCTGCAGATTGGGAGACATGTCCGGTTCTGGGCGCAGTCCGTTCATTCCGAGATCCTCCCACGAAATGTTGAACACATCTCTCAGCCTCGGAACCTGAACCGATTGAGCAGACTCCCAGCTTGAGCAGATCCCCAAGGCACCGGCGCGATCGGCTTCAAAACGGAGCAAGAGGCTGCGGAGGCCGTGATGGTGCCTTCGATGAACAGATCGGACGTGGTAACGGGTACCGGAAGGGTCGGATGAAGTGTTGCTCCAAATTTCCAGCTGCAGCCGGTGCGGGGGATCAAAAGCTGCTCCACAGGGTCAAAATGCTGCGGTACAGGCCCAATCTAAGATGTCTAAGGAAGGGGATGAGAGAGACGGGACCTTTTGGTTTTATTTATATACAGGGTGGGCATGATGTGTGTATGGGAAGAGGATCATAGCGGAAGGCTAGAGGCGACATCCGGCACATGGGCAGGTGCCCACTCTGAGCGACCCAAAGTGTGGAAGAGAATTCGGTCCATGGATGAAGTCTAAAAACAGGCATCTCAGGGTTGTAGTAGAGTCTATGATATCCTATTTGGGTCTTCTTGGAATTTGTTTGGAGGTCTAGTACATGGTCCATGGTGTATAGGGATCGATAAGCGCTATAGGAGTCTAATGTTGGACGCCTTTTCTGAGAGAAAACGGGGGTCTACGCTTACTGCTGGAGGCTTGGACGAACCATGTGGGCCGGGTTTTGGCGGTTCTGAAACACGGCTGAACAGTCAAACGGTTCGTTGTTCGCAAACTTCTCAATGTTGACAGTCCCCTAGGGCTCCTGGCCTACCTCCGTTTAGACGATGGTTGAGGTGGGTGCCATGGGGTCTATCAACCGAACCTGAGGATATGGTTGGAGCCCTAGGGGTCAAGAAGCATGAATGAATCACTGGTCATATCTGGTCATCGTAATACTTTAATTTCTGTCCGATTCACTGCATCCGTCGTCAAAAGAGAGATCCAGACTCCAGACGAATGGGCATTTGACAGACTCCAGATCAATGGCTCCAGACTCCAGACACGACGAATGGGACTGGCATTTGACTCCCGATCAATTGGGTGGTGGTTGTTCTTGTTGTTGTTGCGGTCGGTCGGTGGGTCGGTCGGTCGGTCGGTCGGTCGGTTGGTTGGTTGGTTGGTCAATGCATGTCATTGTACGTCAATGTATCAATGTATAATATGTCTAATGCCCTGGGGCCCATCCTGGCCCACCTCCGTTTTGAAGGTGGTTGGGGTAGGTTTTGCATGGTTTAGCAGGTCTGTCCCTGCCTTCTGAAGATCGTTTTTTTTCTTTTTCTTTCGCCTGAGGGATATGCCAGTCCCATCCCGTCGTGTTTGGGCCTAATCTTTCGACCCGATGTGCCCAGAAATCGGTGGGGGAACACCTAAAACCGGCCCCAAGCAGAAGTAGCAGAGACGCTCACCGCACAAAAAGCTCCTGTAGACTCTTGATTGATACCCCGCCCATTTGGATTGTAAAAACCTCTCCATCACCACCCATTGCGGTCCATCCCAGACGAAGTCCCCTGTTGGGACAAGACGCGCAACACTGCGGACACTCTGGTCCTACAGTGCAAATTGTACAGAGTGAAAAGGACCTAACTAAACTACGAACACACAATCAAGAACCGGGAGAGTGCAGAGGATCTCCCAGGACGTTAAAATCTTGGAACAGCCAGCGTCCATCATCACAGCCAACCGATGTAACTCTTCTGTACACATAAAGGGGACGGCACCGACTATCGCGCCTTGAGGAAAGGAGCGACCTTCGGATTTCCTGGCTTGTAGGCATGTATACCCCGGGAAGACGGACTGGCCAGGGATTTTCCCAATAAAGACAAACATTTTCCGCAGCCAAAAAGAGAGATCTCTGTAGGTAATACCATCACCACTGCAAGCTTCCAAGGTAAAGTTACGCTTGTGAAACAAAGCTGCAAGTTTCATATAAGAAGTACAAAATGCATCCCCGACCTTCCAAGCAAGAGTCTGGGCAAAACTGAAGAAAGTATCAACATCACTGCTTGTATGCTGCTTGAACCACGAGCAGGAAGTGTCGACCCCACCTGAAGATCGCCATGGGAAGTCACAAATAGACTGAGCCCAGTCCCATCGACTAAAGCGCTGTTGAATAGAAGCATCTGCAGGCGGCGATGGACTGACGTCAACATTGACGGGATCTGAAACCTCCGGTGTGGATAACTCGTTGAGTCGAGATAAAAAATGCTGGCGTTGTACAACAGCTTGAAGTTGTTGTGAGAAAATGTGTGGGTACGTGGGTAAAAATTCCGAAGCAACACGCTTCGCTGCCTGATCAGCTTTCCGGTTGAACAAAATATTGCGAACCCGTCGTCCCCCGAGAGGCAGCAAATTCCGGTGTGATGAGGTAGTCCGGGAGGTCGTCACCTACATGAGCAGGAATCCATGAAATCTGCACGGCGATGCCATCCTGAGAAGGGCGCTGTTCAACGATCTGCAGGATGGCCTTCCACCAAGAAATATGATTCCAGGACTGGTCAACTTTCCGAACATGTAGGAGAAGATTAAGTTGGTCAACAATGGACTTGCAGTCAGAAAAAATATGAATGTCACGGAGGCATGCAAACAAGCGCGGTAAATGGCAAAGAGTTCAGCTGAGTAAGAAGACAACGACGGAGAACAAACTCTCTCAGCTAAAATGCACTGTCCACGTTCATCAATGACGCTGCAACCAGCAGTAGTGAGCCAAAAGGTTTCGGGAAAGAAAGCAGACCCGTCTGTCCACAATGACTCTCGACGTGCAAGTGGATCATACGCTGCTGGAACATCTGGCAAAATAGAGGTAAACTGGAGCCGATGTTTGCAAATTCCAACAGGATGTTCGCAAATGCCTAGCATGGCAAAATTTTCGCCGAATTCATGCCGAGGAGGTTGAAGCAAGGGAAAGGCATTCCCACACTCAAAAATCCAGTGAGGCATAGATTCTGGTTGCTGATGGCAAAACCTGCACAGGTTTGATTCAACTAGGTTTGCAGCACAAAGGCGGTCATTGGTAAGAGTACACCCTACGAGTTGTGACTCAAAGTATGGAATAAGGTCAGGTTCACCTTGGGTGTTGCTCGCATTTCGTCTGAAGGCGGTTGACAAATAATGATCAACAAAACCTTGGGGTTTGACGATGTCTTTGCGCTTCTGGTCGGCAGCTCGCTCGTAACAGTACTGTATGGCAAGAACTTGGAGGAGCTGTTTGAGCTCCCGAACGCCAATCTCAAGGATGGGCAAAGCAATGTCATAAAAGAGAAGGTCAAGATCAGGTGAAAAGGACAGGTGAAAGGTGAAAGTGCTTGCTGAACTTGAAAAACTAAGCTATGTTTGGAGTACGAGTGAGATGCAAGAATACGGCGGCAATGCGGAATCCGCTCCGGATGAGAATGAATACATCGCCAAAAATTCAAAATGCAATTATATGCCCGGACGCACACAGGTTCAATGCGGTGCGGGATAGACAAGAAGGCAAAAACCAACATCTTAGATCGCCAATGAGGCCGGTTGCCCCAATACACAGAAACAAGTTCATTCTGAATCCGTTCAAGCAAACGCTTGGGGATCTTGGAGACTTGAGTGGCAAAGGAAATCTGTGGGAGCACTTTTGCTCCGAGCAAATCAGTTTTGACTTTTCGTGACACAGGCAAATTGGCAATGTTCTTAATGTCTGTGATGACTTTACTGCATTTGGCAGGATCGAACAAAAACGCATTTCTTTCAGCGGTGTAAATTTTGGCCCCAAGCAGGTCAAATTCAAGTGACAACGGCAACTGAGGAAAGGTCGATTTAGCGAGGGACCTAGCAGCGGGCGAAGTCCCCCACAAAACACTTTTGCCATGATTGAGATGTTGACCGACCATGAGGCCCCACAACTCAGTGGTGCGGAAGGCTTGCTGCAGCAAATGCGAGTGAACAATAGAAACCCACATGTATGCGTCGTCGATAAACACACGACAGGTGATGTGTTGAAATCGGTCAATGAAGCAAGCCCACACGTGCATGTGCACGTTGATGGCCAAAAGAGACAAGGAGCACCCCTGTGCAACCCCGTTAGCATTCGTAACCGGGGTATGGGCAGTCCAGTTCCTATAGGAAAGATGTTTCTTCAAGCCCTGGTACATCATGGTGAACATATTGACCAAACCGCGTGGGAGCCCAAGGGCCAGCATCAAAGCAGCAGTTATTGGAGGGATGATGCGATCAAAACACTTGGATTGATCCAACTTTATGCCGATGAGGTGCTGACCGTCGACCTTGGCCAAATCAATGTCCAAACGAAGACCATCGCTGACCGATGCCATGGAACGTCCCTAGATCCCGCCATATAATGAAGGATGGAGCGTATTCTGCTGCCAGCACTGGAGTTGGCGGAATTGGGTCCCTGAGTAGGCAAGAAGCAGCGGAGACAGGACTGTGATTAAACGTTTGTTCAAAGGCGAAGCAGGGCCTGATTTATTAAGCAAGGCCTGTTTGGCTCTCAACAACACCTCAGGGATAGACCCTCCACACTCGTTTTCGAGTTGAGAAAAGAAAGATGCAATCTGTTCAAGGCACTTCTTAGGTAGGAGTTGCAATTCGGTCGTACGCCAGCCATCAAGACCGGGCGCGGCGAGAGGGTTCCGAGAGTCGATAGTCATGGCAAGGTCCGCTGCTGTCAAAGCAGGAAGTGTAACTGGATTTGCAGTATGCTGAATATACGGCCATACAAAGTGCAACACCCGCATTGGGTCTTCATGCAAAACGTTGGAAGCAAAAATGGAGTCCCATTGAAGGTTGACTTCACTAAGGGCTTCAGTGGGTTGATACAAAATATTGCCTTTGGAATCTTTGACAAGATTAACCGGCTCATCAAGTGATTTCGACTTAAGATGATGGTAGATATATTTTTTGGAAGAATGGGCTGAGGCTTTGACTCGTGAGCGCCAACTATTAATTCTTTGTTGTTTCTTGGCAAAATCCCAATTCTGCAGTTGATGCAGAACCCATGTGCGACAATGAAACACATCAACTAAGGATGGAAATGACTTGGCATCCCAAATGCAAGGGCATTTCAAAGTACACAGGTTTCTATAGAGTCTCTGAGAGGTCCGCTGTAATATGTGCACATCTGCGAGGCTTGAAGCTGGTCTTTGCAGACGGACGAATAACTCATCAAGACGTGATAAAGCGTTCTGCATCCAAGAAGCTTTCAGGGAAAGGGCAGAACCCGTTCTGGCTTGACCGGGACAGAACTGCTTAAGTTTGCGGGGTCCAATTCCCCATTTGGCACCTGAGGAGATGAGGGTGTCACAACAAAATTGATTGAGAACTTCCCATTGGGCATCCGAATTAGAAGACTGGTCAAACTGCGCAGCGAAATGGTCGGACCATAAAGCTTCAGCGGTGACATTTGACGGGTGAGAAGCATCCAGACCTGGCTTACTCAGGGAGTCCGTGATAAGAGGTGCAAATTTGCGATGGACATACTCATGTTGCCAAATGGTTGGCCAGGAAAAGGAAGCCCGGACAGGTCTGTGTTGGGCGTCGGACGTCTGAACAACATCAATGGTTTGCAAAGCACACGAGGCAACCTGGTTCACGAGAATCCCGTCGATCGATGAACAAAAGTCACCATGACCTGAGAAAGTACTATCTTTAGAATAAGTCAGGGAATTGTGGTAATTGACAGCGTTTGGGTAGTGCATTGGTGGTGATTGGAAGTCACCTGCTAAAATGAGTGGGATGGACCCGAACAGTGCACAAATTGTAAAGATGTCAGCAAAAATTGCATCATTGTACCCGAAGATTTGTGGGTTCGAAGATGCAGAAGTTTTAGCGTAAATGGAAAACACGAGAGCCCGAACGGTAGGGGTGACCTGAACCCAGCATGCATTCGCGCGATGCGAGGAATGTAACTTCTGATAAAGACCAGTTTGATCAGAGTTAGGGTCAAAATCAACCGAAAGCTCGGGAGGGGCAAGAATTGCCGTGCCTCCATGCATGACAGAGTGCTGACCGTCCGATCGAATAAACCCTTTCAGGGGAGCACAAGTAAAAAGCTCTTGTCCAATTTCACGAACACTTTTCTTGGAGTGGGGTTGTTACACCCAATGCGAGTCTCTTGCAAGCACTGAACTGTAGCGGAAACATGTTTCCAAGAACAATTTGTTTTGAGACTTCCTATGTTAGCAGTAGTCAAGGTCCAAGTACTCGGGATAGGGCTTTCACCTGGGAAGCCCAGCGTAGAGTCAAAATCAGCCAGCGAAAATAAAATGCAATAGTAAAAACCGTAAAAGGAGGCTGGCGAAAAGGACAAATATTGAGGCTGACTGTTCGAAGATGACGAAGACAAAAATCGAAACTAGATGTCTGTACTACCAAACCAAACACATAACGAAGGAAACCAAGTGGAGCAGCAGTGACTTTTCCCCAGACTGAGAGGTCAAAATGACAGTCACTTGCGGACCGTCTGCTGAAAGCACGAGAATCAAAATGTCGGTCTATGATCTCACAGCCCCAATCATGAGAACACTTGCAACGGGAATGAGAGTGAAAGTACCAAAACCACCGATCTGAAAAGGGACAGTGAGGCATGAGACAGGGAGACCTGCAAGTTAACCGGACGATGTGCCAACTGGGATTGCATGTCGTCTCACCATGGCAAACATCGATCCTGTGCTCGCAAAGGGAGCACGACCCCAGAAAAAGGATTGGATTCAATGCGGAGAAACCCGGCACAAGCCTCCAACGAGCGTCCTTGTAGAAGGGACGAAACCACACAAACAAATCACACTGCAAAACAAGAAAAGGAGACTGACACATGGAGGCTTGCGCCCCAAAACATCAGGCTTGCTTAGACACCTTAGGAGGTGGTGTGTCACCTGTCACTTCACGAGCTCGAGAGGGCCCAACTGTTTGCAAGATCTGGCGTAACGAATCTGAGATATGCTCGAAGCGGCCATCAACCTTTTCCTCGAATCGAGATTGCCTGGCTTCAATTCGGTCAAATCTTTGCTCCAACTTGTCGATGCGTGCCGAATCTTGCGTCGAAACCCCTGGAACAGGGGTGAACTGCTGCGGACCAAACATAGGCTTTGGTCCTGGCTGGGCAGGTGCCTTGGAAGACTTCGTCTTTCCAGATCCTTTCCCTCCAGAGCGG